TTTAAGATACTTAATAATAGCAAGCAATTCCTTATTGTGTATAGTGTAGTTTTGTCTCTCTAGCGTTAGTGCTATAGAGTAGTAAGCAACTAGGCGCTAGACGCCCCTAACTTTTTACAATAAGTAACCCCTAAGAGCGTATCCTAAATAGTCTACTTCTAATAATATTTCTTTAGCTAGGTCCTATTATATTAGTACTAGTCTAGATATAAATGCCTTTTTTAGTGTATTAAATACACTCTATTCTTCCTCTTCCTATTAGAATAGGGTATTCTTCCTAGTTAGTTAGTTTAAAGGTGCTACTACTTTAGAAAACTTTGTAATAAAATTATAGTAGAAGTTAGTAAAACCTAGAAAACTCCTTACCTCTCTTATATTCCTAGGGGATTCCTATTCCTGTACTGCCCTAAGCTTTTTAGGGTTAGGTCTAAGTAATTTGCCTACCTTAATAATATAGCCTAGGTAGCGTACCTCCTTAATACTAAAAGCATATTTCTCTAAGTCTAGGTATAGTCCTACTTCTTTTAATAGTGTAAGTACACGCTTTACTTTTTCTATATAGTTAAACTAGTCTCCTCCTAAATAAATTAGGATATTATTAAGGTAGGCTATTATATATAATCTAAGCAACTCTATAAGCGTAGTATTAATATATTATTAGAAAGTAGATAGCGCACTACTAAGACTAAATAGATATACTAACTATTTATATAACCTAAACTAGGTGTGGAAAGTAGTTAAGGACTTATAACCTTCTACTATTCTAACTTTATAAAAGGTAGTGTAAATATCTACTTTTATAAACTAATTTACGCTAGATAGTGTGTATAAAGTTTCCTTAATAAGTAGTAGTAGGTATTAGTCTAAGGTTATTATGCTATTAAGTATCTAGTAGTCTATATATAGACACTAACCACCTAATAGCTTCTTTACTAGTAATACTAGAGCTCTAGCTATAGAAGAGCTTGCTTAGATCTAGCCCTTATCTATTAATCTAGTAAGTTATGTTCTTAGTTTTAGCAATTAATTATAAGACATAGGGTATAGGGGAACCTATAGGGGGTTAGGCTAGGTTCTATCTAGGAGAGTTATTAACTAAATATAGTAATCTATACTACCTTAATAAGGTAGTAAACTGCTTGCTAACTCTTTGTTAAACAGGTCCTTAAACTCTTGCAGTTCTAGTAGTAACTTTATCTTTCTAGTTTTATACTTAGGTTTATAGGGAACTATATTACTAGCAATATAGAAGGTGTGTATATTAATAGGACTTCCCTTATTAACACTTCCTAGATATTTTAATAGGCGTAAGTTATATATTACTTATAATATATCTAGTATATTTATTATAAAAATTTATACCTATATATCTTCTTATTAGGGTTCTTAATTTAGCAACCCTGCTATAACTAAACCTAAGATAATAGAGATATAGGTAGGATATAGACGTCTCCTACTCTCTTATACTACTATATTTCCTACCTTCCTAATTATTAATTCGCCTTATAGAATATCTATAATAACGCCCTCTCTATAAAGCTATAGTCTACCTAGTATTAGTTAATAGGAAAGACTAGGTACTATATAAGCTAAAAGCTAAGACTACTAACTATCTAAATTATAGTCTAATACTACTAACTATACAATTCTTGTACCCTTAGTAATTCCCTAGGTATATTATAAGGGTCGCGGGGGAATATTAATAAAGGTCCTACTAATCTATCTTACTAACTTTTCCTTAACTACACTAAAACACTAGCACCCTAAATTAACTATTACTTGTATATTCTCTACTCTACCTAGGAGGAGGGGAATAAAGAAGGGGGGATTATTTAACCCTACCTTAATATCTAGGGGATACTTAATAGCCTCTACTATTAATAATTCCTTTATTATAGTGTCCTCCTTATACCCCTAACTTAGCCTAGGGTTAGGGGTAGCTAGTTTCCTAAATTAATGCCGCTTGCTAATACTACAACTATCTTAACACCTACTAGTTATAGTAATAGGGTATTAGGATATACACGTATAAAATAACTACCCTATCTATACTAGGTGTAAACCTTTGCTAGTTTCTGTGTATTAAATAGGTCCTATAGGATCTAGTTAGGATATAATATTAGTAGTTTAGTAGGTATACTTAATAAGGCTACCACTTCTACTATATTTATATCGCTATCCTAATCTAAGGTAAACTTCTACTAGGGTTCCTTAGACTTACTAGCCTAAAGAAAACCTAGTTCTAGAGAGGCTATTTTAATATCTACTATAATTATCTTATATTCCTTTATAGCTATATTATAGTTTATCCTAGAGACTCCCCTATTAAGAGAAACTAAGCGTATATAGCTATTAAGAGATTACTAAAGTTATAAAAGCTTCTATTTATTATCCTAGTATAAACCTCCTAACTATATAAGGAGCTACACAAAATTTATAAAGAACTCTATAAAAGGTTAATTTTAGCCCTAATATAAGTATTCTAATATAACTTAGGCACGCTCCTGCCTGTAATAGTTACTATAATAGAACGCTAGGTAGTTAAGAAACCTGCTTATATCCTAACGCTTATATACACTATCCTTAAAGTATAGTGCTATAGCGCGCTAGACTATAGGTAATAGCTAGGACTAAATATATATAAACCTTACCTCCTTATCCCTAATAAAGACCTTATCTACACGTAGTTTAAATTCTATAGTTATTTACTAGGAGGAAAAGTTCGCCTTAGTACTATTATATAGCAAGCTAACTAGGAAGGGTTTATATTATAAGGTAGAAGGGGGTAGAGGTAGTAGATTATTAAACCTAGCAGGCTTAGAGGAGGGTAAGGATAGAATCTAATTGCGTATTTCCTTATTCTATTAATATAGTATAGCTATTATAGCAGAGTCTTAAGCCTATTATTCTATTAATCTATAGACCTGCTATATTAGCCTTTCTACTATATTAGGTTGCACCTAATTATTCTAAACATCTAGCGCGTCTATCTCTTATTACTATTATAGTATATTTAGAAGAAGATACTAAAATATTATAGACTAGCCTTAAGGGAGAATATAATAAGCGTTAATAATAGTATTTAGTATCTTAAAGGAGAGGTAAGCTCTCTACGCCTTTTTATAGGTGTGTAGCGTGTTCGCTTAGTAGTAGTGTTAGGCTCTGTCTAACTTGTCAAAGTTAGCTCCGTCCGTCTTGTTAGACCCAGGCTTAGGCGTAAGCCTAAGCCCTTCACACTAGTAACTATAATAAAACTAAAGCTAGTTATAGAGGGCTTAGCAAATATTATAATTATTAGTAAGGATAGCTTTTAACTAAGTATAAGTCTTATAACTATAATAGCAGGACTTATATAAACACCCTAGATATAGTTAGAACTTACTATATATAATATAAAAATTAAGGGGAACTTACTACTACCCTCCTAATAGTTATACTTACTAAAAAGATAAAGCTAGTTAATATACTAATTATAGGGAAGTAGCTTTATAAAGCTACTATTATATTCCTTATTATCTAAGTTACTAGAAATAATAAAGCTACTAAGTAACTATATTTAAAGAGATATATACTAAGTAAAAAGTTAGTATAGGAAATATAGGGAGAATATTAGAAGTACACACCTTATCTTAGTAGGCCTAGCGTAGGGTCTAACTACCTTATAGTAGATCCCTACTACTAGTACTAGTAGTAGTAGATAAGGATATAATAGAGGCTAGATATATAGGATTAATAGAGAAAGAGTAGAGAGAGGGCTAATTAGTAGGGAAAATCTATTATATAATAAAGTAAGTTTAGGAAATTTATAGTAGAGTAGAATAGCTATATTAGAACTTTTATAGTAGGGTACTAAAATACGTGTATAGATACTATATATATATACTACTTAATATATAGGCCTATTATAAATTAAAAAGGAATATAAAGATATAATAATAAAACCTAAATATATAGTAGTAAAGCTAAATATAGATTATAGAGGATAAAGATATAACCCTAAACCCCTAAAAAGATAATTTTATAATAGCTTATAAGGAAGGTTAGGGGTATATAAAGGGCTTAGGCTTATGCCTAAGCCTAGGCCTAATATAGGATAGATAGAGTCTAACACTACTACTAAGCAAACACGCTACACACCTATAAAAAGGCGTAGAGGGCTTACCTCTCCTTTAAGATACTAAATACTATTATTAACGCTTATTATATTCTCCCTTAAGGCTAGTCTATAATAGATAGGAGGTTCTAATTTCTAGTAGTTTAGAAGATTCTAAGGTAACTAAGGATAATACACCTATATTAGTAGAGGAGTGTACTAAACCTCTACTATGTAAATATTAAAGGCTATACTATTACTATAATTAATAGCTATAATAAAAAGATATAATACTATTTTTTTAGTTCTATATATAGTATATTTTATATATAACTATAAGAATAGAACTATAACCTATATACTACCTATATAACCTTAACTAATATCTATATATATTAGATCTAACCTAACTACTAGGTCTATATAACCTAACCCTAACCTAAGCCTATAGCCTATATAACCTAAACCTAACCTAAGCACTAGGTCTATGTAACCTAAACCTAACCTAGTACCATAGCTAGTATACACTAACCTAGATTTACTAGCCTAATTTTAAGCTCTAATATAGCTCTAACTCTAGTCTAGGCCCCTCTACCTCTAGATATACAAGAAGCTTTATACTTATAGATAGATAGATAAGTTCTTTTTATTCTTTTATATAAGACCTATAGGTTTAGGAATCTTATCCCTTCTCTATATAGACGCGCACTCCTATATACCTTTAAGTTATATTAGATACCTTTTAGATGCCCTACTTACCTGCGTCGTTACACTTGTTACAAACACGTGCACAACCCGCGCAGCCTCGGTAAGCATCTCAAGTTTCAACGCCTTCCGTCTTGATGATAGAGCTTGCCCATCGACATACCAAGAGCGTGCACCTGTGCGGCCAGGCCCACCACCAAGGATGGCAGCAGATAACTTTACACCTATCGAGAAGATGTGGCAGCGTCTGTTCACTCTCGACGGACAGCCTCTACCGCGGCTTGGCGAATTCCTGCGGGGACTGGCATTGCACCTGGTATAAGTACCGTACGGAAAAGTCGTCAACTAGAATTAATTTGTATGTCAGATTGAAGATTACGAACCAAAGAAGAGTCTGGTAATTTCTCCGGCTAAGTTGCATCGGTTTTACAACGAGGTCAACGTTAAGGACGAAACATACCCTTGGCAGTGTAAGCGCAAGTTGTGGATCACCTGTCGCACATGAGCTGAGCTAGCATACCATGTGATAGCGATCTTTGAGGATCTGTCATATGCAGCTCTATCCAAGATATATCGTGAGCTGCGATGCCAATATCATTTGATTCAGGAGCATCCGGCTGAGCCACCTTCCATTCCTGCTCTAACACCCGAAGGGTTCGAAGCATGGATAACGCTGATGATTCGGGCACATCCTGATGTTGAATACGAGCGGCTGGCAAAAGCTGTCCTAGATATGCCAATTAGTAATGCTGACGACCGGAAGGAGAGATTTCCCAAACAACTCCCTCGACGACTACTGCCAGCTACAGAGAATTTGCAAGCTCAGCAACGTTGCGCTGCCGCGCTTTCTTCTGCGGGTGTTGGGCCTCTTCGTCGGGCGCCAATCTTCCCACCTCCACCCTCAAAGACGCAGTATACTACAGATACAGATGTGCCCAATTTGGAGCGAGAAAGAAGTCCTTATACCTCTAGACCAGATATACGAGCGTTTCCATCCGAAGAAGGAGTGGGATCCCCTTCCGTCCCCATCGAGCGCGAGAGAAAGCCCTACACATCAACCCCAGGGGTCGGGAAGACGTACAATGACGACTTCAATCGTAATGGTAGTGACGAGGAAACTGGACACGCGCCTCATCGATGGACACAGTCTACTGTAAATCCACCTTCGTTTGCAACCCCTTGGCCCGAGACTCACCACCATCCTCGAACCCATTCAAATTTCTCCTCTTTCCGTCCAAAGAGTCCGACTTCCTCCAATTATGGTACAGAATCCGACCCAAACATCCACGAGACCTTCAGCAGCTACTATGCATCAGGCTTTCACAGCTTCGACGATGATCCACGTGAATACAGCCAGGAAACTGGAGGGAACACTTTTTATCGACATCGAAGAAGAATGGGAGGATCTTTCGAACCGCACCCACGGTCGGTGTACGACGATGATGACTACCGGGAGAGACATAGAAGCAGCGGTTATGATGGGAGGGACATGAATCCCGCCGCTATTGATTGACTATAACTGTGGGTTCACGACTTTATGAAGCAATATGTTGTTCGTCGCCTTCTTCTGTCTTTGTATATTACTTTCCTTCGGATACAAATTCTGCGGTAAAGGTAATGCGGTGTAATCAAGGTAATGCGCAGCGTATTAGTAGGCTAAACGGGTTGCATACAACATATCCCTCTCGGCTGTTATCTAGGCTCTATTTACCATGTATTGTTTTTGGCATAGTGAAACGTTCTGAGCAATCAACACTTTTGTACCGGCAAGTGTGAGTCTGCGATGCCCTCTTTCACCCTCGTCCATTCATCCTGATATATGTTACTTGCCATCACAGCAACAATAACTAGCATCGACTGCCTCAAAAAAATCTGCCCTCCTAAAAACATTTTATGCTTTCTTTCTCCCTGCGAAGTCTTGACTTGCCCCCCCCTAGAGTCGACTAATTCTTCTCAAAGAATATGCTGATGCATAGCTTTCGCGCATCTAACACGTGCCTGACTTGCCACCACCTCGAATGATTTTTGACAGGTATATGACTATCGTTTAAGATGGTTTTATGTTTACCACCTTACAATACCTTCTCCGTTAAATACGGCTAGACGAATACGGCACTTTTTAGGTAAGCATTGACATTCTCTCCAGACTAGATACGGTGTACCTAGGTAGTTCACCGCTCAAGAACCTGCGCCACTCTGAAGAAGTCACAGAATCGGCGCATCACCTTCTTGAACCGCTTTTGCAAAGCGTAACTCCCATTAGTGAATGAAGTGCATACCTGAAGCTTGCCTTGGCTTCTGTCTAAGAATCTCCGAGGTTTACGGTAGACGGCAAGCACAGCACGGGACCCCGCGAATGTGACCGCCAAGAACACACTTTACGGGTCGACGCGTCGCGACTTTCCCCTGCCATCAGCCGGCGAGACCTTTCACAAAGAGTTTCCGAATCCTACCACCTAAACACACGCAATGGCACTTCTAGTCGACAAACACCGTCCTCGAAACCTTGATGCCCTCAGCTATCACCCCGGGCTGTCAGAGCGACTACGAGCTCTTGTGCGCGCAGTTCCCCTTGCATTTTAGGCGAGATCCTGACAATCGTAGGCACAAAGTGGTGACTTTCCCCATTTACTCGTATACGGCCCATCAGGTGCTGGTAAGAAGACTCGCATAGTCGCCACCCTCAAAGAACTCTACGGTCCTGGGGTAGAAAAGATCAAGATCGACGCTCGAGTCTTCCAAACCACCACGAACCGCAAGCTCGAATTCAACATTGTCGCCTCCGTCTACCACCTCGAGATTACGCCTTCAGATGTCGGAAACTACGACAGGGTAGTCGTGCAAGATCTTCTCAAGGAAGTTGCACAAACACAACAGGTCGATCTAGGTGCAAAACAGCGCTTCAAGGTGGTAGTGATCAATGAAGCAGACCACCTGACGAGGGATGCGCAGGCCGCGCTGAGGAGGACGATGGAAAAGTACAGTCCAAACTTACGGCTGATATTACTGGCAAACTCCACCAGCAACATCATTGCACCCATTAGGAGTAGAACGCTGCTTGTGAGGGTGTCAGCACCAACAGAGACGGAGATTTGCGAGGTGTTGAGCAAGGTCGGAAAGAAGGAGGGCTGGAAGGAGGTTGAGAGTTTGAACCGAAGAATTGCGAAAGAGAGTGGAAGAAATCTGAGGAAGGCGCTGTTGATGTTTGAGGCGGTGCATGCGCAGAAGTAGGTCTAGGCACATGGAGAGCTTGGATGCAATGCTAATAACAAATAGTGAGAAGATTACAGATCAGACACACATCCCACCACCGGACTGGGAAGCCCTCATTGAACAGATCGCACGCCAGATCGTCGAAGAACGCTCGCCACAACGCCTCCTACAAGTCCGCGCCTCGCTCTACGATCTGCTATCGCATTGCATCGACTCAACCACAATCATCAAGACACTCACATGGAAGTTGATACCCAAGACGGAGGATGCGTTAAAGCCGGAAGTCATCAAGTGGGCTGCATTCTACGAGCACCGGTGCAAGCTGGGTGCAAAACAAATTTTTCATTTGGAGGCCTTCGTCGCAAAGTATATGCGACTGTATGAATCGTACGTTCATCTCCGCAGACTTCCCTAAGAACATGAGCTAATGTGCATAGATACTCTATGGGTCTCGACTTTGATTCGGCGTAACGACCACGATGAATGGACATTGAGCTAGAGCACAAAGATACCAGTATAGTAATGACGATAGCAGAATTGAATGCATTTATACTTTGGATACATTATAGGGAATGCGGAACCATAGGCGTGCTTGAGCGCACCTGCATCCTGGCGTTTGGGGAAGTGCAGCTGCATTACGTCATGGGTAAAGGAGCTTCTCCATATACCTTCAGCTTCAAACAATAACTCCAATACACCACAATCACGATAGCTGCAATCAATGAGCCTCACTTCCTTAAACACTACTTTTCTTTGAAGAATTACTTTCGCCTACCACCTCTCACTCAGTCCTCTTCCAAAACATGTCTTCAAGGCTCATGAACACAGAGCCCGGTGGCGAGCAAACTCAATACGAAGGGGTACATACATTTGTCGAACCACATGCAAAGCAGGCTGGTCAGTTAGGCAGTACGCCCTACCCTGAATACTCTTCCACAAATGCTACCTCTCGGCGACGCCAACCGTCAGGTTCTACCGAACTCACTGACGCTACTCAGATCCCAGCGAAGGCACAGCCGAGACTACCGATAAGAAGGCGACTGACGAGCCAAACACACAAGGTGTGACAAGGGCCGACAAGATTCGCTACGGACAAAGCATACAAGAAGGTGGTATGGGAGGCAAGACGACGAGTTCGACCGGAGAGGCGGTCCAGGCAGGTATGTCACATCGGACAGTTAACATATTGAATGGAATGGGCTTGCTAATGTGTTTCAGGGGGATACCGTGGTACAAAGGCAGTTGATGAGCAGGATGATAGCGCCGCGGTGCAGAGGAGACAACAAGGATATGGTGGTAGGGAGGATATGGATAGAAATGTTGGTGCTTGAGAATGTGGTGGAGTAGCAAACACCTCGCGCTCCTCTTTGGGCTCCTATATGTTGAGGGAGCAATGAATAGCGTATTTCTTGCTAGACATAAGTTCTTGTTATAAAAGTAATACAGCGACCCGACACTTCCAGTCACTGTCAAACAAAAGTGTGGTCGTTTGGTCCAATATATCTTCAGCGGTTTGTTCAGATCCTCTCTTCATCGATTATGTATCCCATGCCTCTCCTCCACAACCCCAAAACTCTCAATGCCTCCATTCTTGCGCCGTACTCCTTGACGCTCTCCACCTCTTCTAGCTTTCCGTTTGTAACAATGGCTTCTCTCTCTGCCCCATGCTCACACACTTTTTCAGCAGGCTTTTTCACCAGTTGGAAGTCCTTGTATCGTAGTCTTTGCACAACAGACACCCATTCTCTTACACCGGATTCAGTACCTTGGCAATACATGATGCCAGGACAGCCTGAACTGCGTAGAAGCGCGTAGATGTTGCAATTTGAAGCTGCGTCTCTCAGCTTGCCCACCTTTTTGCGCGATGTGATGTGATGTGTGCGAATTAGCGCGTTGAATACTGGCTGAGACATGACATTTGATGCGGCGGACGCAGTATGGAGAAAGTGGGAAGCGTTGACGACCAGGTTGTCGCTGTATCCCAAGTTACTGATTAGGCTTAGCGCGCATTTTGGAAATTCTAAGCTGAACATTTGACCCCATGACGTCTGCGGCTCTGGCGAACAGCAATAACAACATCAGCCAACGCCTATGGATTGCTGCCATATATGACGACGACATATTACAGAGCTATGAGGCTGACAATTGCCCATGGAATAGCCCCGTCGCCCTTGGTCCTGAGTTTCCTGCGCGCTCAAGTCCGGACTGCATTCGAATCGCCGACTGCCCAATGTGCAGGCTTGAGGAGACAACAGAGAGGGCATGGAGCCAACGGCAGGGGAATAATACGGGTACTGGATAAAATACCAAGAGCTGGACGTATTGGCGGTTTACAAGGAAGAGGACTGCTTGGCGATAGAGGTTTCGCAACGGAGCCATGCTTGTTGCAGAAAAAATTATCCAGATCAACTTTCGACATTGCGCAGACTTCCATACGACAAAGGACGTTCCTGTCTATTCGTAGTTTCGCCACAATACCCAGGCTCCAAGCATGGAATCCGTTCAGCTCTACGAAAGCGCGGCGACTTGGAGCGCCTGCACCACCGCCAGACGAACAGTCGACCAGCTCGAGCGGGTTCGGAGGTAGTCTGGGTCGCATGTCAAGGGCGACAAATGAACTTAAGATGCGATGTACAGAGCTCGATGAGCATGGTAACGTTACACTGGTCAATGGGGAGTTCAAAAAGAGCGAGCTCATCGCAAAGGTATTATGCCACCACCCAACTGCAGGCAATGGGAGACAACCCTGACAGTGAATAGTATGGCCTCCTCCCTCGAGATCTTCGGAAGATCGATTCTTCCCTTCTTCCTCACATCCTCGTTCGCCCAACCGCCATCCTCATCAATCTACTCAATCTGCGCGTCCTTCTGAAGCACAACCGCGTCCTCGTCTTTGACGCCTACGGTACCACAGACTCCAAGTCACAATCGGTCTTCATGTACGACCTCGATCTCAAACTGCGCCAAAAAGAGTCGGCCGCGAATGGCACTCTAGCATACGAATTTCGCGCCCTTGAAGCTGTGCTTATCAGCGTTACGTTGAGTCTGGAACAAGAATTTGAAGGCGTGAGCGAGCCAGTGGTTAGAGTACTCCGAGAGCTGGAAGAGGACATTGACAGAGACAAGTTGCGCTACCTGCTTATCTACAGCAAGAAATTGGGCAGTTTCGAACAGAAAGCACGATTGGTCAGGAACGCGCTCGAGGAACTCCTCGAAGCCGATGACGATCTGAGTGCCATGTATCTCACCGAGAAAGCAGAGGGCAGGACACGCGAAGACGATGACCACACAGAAGTCGAAATGCTTTTGGAATCGTACCATAAAGTCGCTGATGAAATCGTACAAGCAGCAGAGAACCTGGTATCCAGCATCCGCAACACCGAGGAAATGTGCGTTTAGCCCCTCTCCTTGTCCACCTCACAAAATATCATCCTAGCCACCCAAGCTAATCTACGTGAAATCCATAGCGTAAAAGCCATTCTCGACGCAAATCGCAACTCCCTCATGCTCCTCGACCTCAAATTCTCCATCTCCACCCTCTCCATTACAGCCGGAACCTTTGTCGCAGCCCTCTACGGCATGAATCTCAAGAACTTCATCGAAGAAAGCGACTTTGGCTTCTTCGGTGTCTCAGCATGGTGCACCGTCTTCGGTTTCCTCGTCGCCGCCTACGCCCTCACCAAACTCCGCAAAGTCCAACGTGTGAGCATGTACGGCCACGGGCCCGGTGCGCTCGTCAGTCGCGACCCGCCTAAAGTGACGAGCTGGGGCATGGGCGCGTGGGGCGGCGGCAGCAGGAATGGCGTTAGCCGCGGCGATTATGGGCCCCTGGGCCCGCTTCCTGGAGGAGCGCCCGATCTGACGGGCTTTGGGAAGAGGGGAGAGAGCTGGACGGATGTTGTGCCAAGGGAGCGCGTGCAGGCAAGGAGATTGGGTAGGGGGGACGCGAGACCGGATGAGGGTAATAAGGGGACATGATTTGGTATCGTGGGGAAAAAAGCGTGGGACAGTAGTGGCTGGATGGTGCTGGGTTCTGATATCGCTGTCTTGAAGCGGATGGAGGTTTGCTTCATATCTTTTAATTCTTCTCTGCTCAGATATCCCTCCTCTTTTCCTCTGCTATGATATGGTATGGTACACTGATTTTGTATATATCGTCGGTCTTGCATAGCGGTGGCGTCATGGCGTTATCAGTTTGCCGGGATTTTTCCACGTCAAGGGATTGTACGATTGTAGATGTAAATGTAAATGTAGTAGCTGTAGACCATTCATGTAGACTATCCCCATAGAATTCATGGCAGACAGTGGTTCACCACCCTAAACCTTCCTTGCCTCAGTGTACATATTGTCCCGGTGTCATGGCAAGGAAAAAGACACACCTGGTGGCTAGTACTAGCTTTGAGGTGGAAAAAGTCGATGCAAAATTATTTTATTCATTACAGGTGCGTAAAAATGACAGTGACGCTGTGGCTGCAGTTGTAGCTGTAGCTATAACTACTCGCTCGTGCTAAATAAAGAGAATCCAGAACAGGAAAACAGGGAAATAGCGGATCCGCTGAAGCGAGAGGCGGTGGCGGGTACGGGGTATCAAGTAGATATGACGGCGAAGAAGGAGAAGAAGGAGAAGAAGGAGAAGAAGAAGAAGAAGAAGAAGAAGAAGGAAAGGGACAGACAGACAGAGAGAGAGATACACAAAAAGAACAAAATCAAGGAAACAAATAAACCTCCCTCGCTGTAGCCACGGCTATTACCATCCAAACACATCGCATCCCATCTAATTACATCAAATCATACACACATAACCCCCCTCCTTTCCCCCTCCAACCCCCGCAAATCACCCCTGCCGCCTCAACAACCACTCCACCGCCTCATCCACCCTCAACCCATCCCCCGCGTCCGTCAGCCGGAGCGCCTCTTTGGCCTCCTCGGGCGTGAAGCCCATCTCAACGATGCGGTAAATCGCCTTGTCGGCCGTGTTCTCGTGGCTCCCGGTGCTGAAGATGTCGCGCTGGGCCGGGTGCTGGGCGAAGACGGGGTGGGTCGGGGTGATGGGGCTGGGGGAGGAGGAGGAGTAGATGCTGGAGGGGGAGTGGTGGGTGGATTGGCGGTGGTGGAGGTGCTGGTGGTGCGGTTGGTATTGTTGGTGGACGCGGTGCCGGAAATAGGGGTGGTCTGCCATGGTGGGTCTGGCGGCGATGGTGTTGGAGCGGCGGTGGGCTGGGTGTTCTTCAATCGAGGGCATGCTGGTTGCTATGCTATACCGGTTGCTCGGGACGGTGGAAGGCGGTGGGGTGGGAAGAAGGGGCTCAGCGACCAGCCGGGGAATTGGAGATGGAGTTCTCGCGTTTGGGAGTTCGGCGAGCGGGATGCTGAGTTCACTGGCGTGAGCGGAGCGCAGCGATGGAATGTACGAGACGATGTTGTTGGCTGCGGCTTGGGTGGGTGGCTGTCGGGTGAGGTTGGCGATCACGGCGTCCCATTCACTCATTGGGCGTTCCTCGTTCATGGTGATCATCGGTCCGTGGTTGCCCGTGTTCTTGCGGTACCGGAGTTCGCTGATGTGGCGCTGGATGCGCATCTTGGACTGTTGGCGTTGGACCTCGCGCGAGGAGAGCCGGGCATATTTGTTTGCGATTTTGTCTTCGTAGATTCGGGATGTGGCTTCGGAGAGGAATTTACGGCGCGAGCCCCCAGAGACAGGGGGGCTCCAATTGACCAAGCCTTTTTGAGCTGCCAGATCGAACGCGGGTTTGACATCGTGTGGAGAGAGAAGCACGGAGAGGTCGAGGACGGTGGAGAGACCAAATGTAAGAAGGTAGTTGCACCATTCGTCTGTTTATTATTAGCATCTGCTAGTCAGGAAGACATGGAAGTTGACATACCAAGCATTGCCCATTCTCCGTCAATGTCACCGCCACGAACATGGGTAGGCTCAAAGACACCAGCTTGACGTGCCTCTGGCGTCTTCCCCGCAAAGCCCTGGAGAAGAACACCTAGACAGTTCCAAAGCTCCATCATGTCGAATAGTTGCTCGGCAGTCAGGCCGCCTTCGTTGCCTTGGGCAAAGCATTCGGGGGCACCAATCAGAGTGCCATTCATGTAGTCGGTGGTCATAATGCCCGAGCCAGTCTTCTCATGAGCGAGGTCGCCCCCTTTCAGCCAGTCCATCTGAGCCACAATGTCCTCTTCACGGCCCTTTCCAGATCCGAATATCTTGCAAAAGGTCCAAATACGCCACAATGCACTGTCGACCCTAGCACGCTCCTCGGGGCCATTGGTAACAAGCGCAACCGTGATTTCAGGGCGCAAGAACGACTGGCACTTCTCCAGAATCTGTGCCTTGATTTTACAGACGACTGCCTCGTCGCGCTTATGTAGCTGCATATAGGTCAAAGGCGTATATTCTTCCTCTGGTCGGGCCATCTCCAGGTCCTCGGCGTACAACAGATCGTGCCCAGGAAAAGCAATCTCTCTGAATTCCCACGCGGGAGGAGACATCTTGTACAGTGTGGATTTGATAAGATCGAGCTCGTGGCGCTTGTAGACGCGATAAAAGCCCCGGTTCACCTTGGCCGCAGCAAACAAGTCGTCCCAACTGTCCAAACTTTGCAAAATACCCAATATGACCCTCTCTGCACCTCCTGGCGTAATCGTACGTTTCAAGTCTGGTGGCGGCATTTCGACCGGGACGGGTTCGAAGGTCTTGGCCGTCTTCTTGGGTTCTGGAATGGCAAGCTTGAGGCCGCCGTTGATCCTTGTACGTGGGCGTGCTTCCGACATCTGCGACGCGATGTGACTGTCCGGGAGTGTGGCGATGGATTTATAATACGCAGCTGAGCGTCGCTTACTTGACTTCCTCGGCACCTCTGGTGGTGGATCAAGAGGTTCGAATTCTCCAAGGTCGAGCGGGCAGTGCTCTTTTGCTTCATCACCGACAGTAGCATCTGTCTGGTCTTTCATCTCCCGAGGACTCTCGAGCCACTCAGCCTCTTTGGGGGAAGTAGGCTGCGCTGGCTCTTCATTCTCTGCCGTGGGCTGTTCAGTGGTGAAGGAAATGAGAGTGTGTTCCAAGTCGTCCACAGCCTGACTAAGGGTTGGTGTGAGGGTTGAAAATTCCTTAGACGCAGAACGCCTGATTGCTTTGTCGATGACCCCGTGTGAAGCGTCCAGTGTGCGGCTCCGTCGGGCAATATTTCGCTTGGATGATTTGCGGGCTATAATGGGTCTGCGCGGTAACTTCTTCACAGTACCACGATTGCAATCTGCCTCACAGGTGGGCTTGAAAGACTCGTCCTGTTCGATGGGGGGATGCGATGCGTATCTACGAGGTGGGGAAGCAGGCGGAGGAATACGCTCGTTGCGGGCAGCCTCTGCCGAGACTGTCGTTTGAAACAGCACGGGAATGGTGCCAACGATTGAACTTTGGACGATAGATTCGGACACGGAGCGTCTCACAGCCTTGGATCTGTTTGGAACGTCCTCAATCTCCACACTTGTTTTCGACGAGCGGTTGCTGTGAATCGACGACGCATCGCTATGGTGTGAGTAATCGGACCCGCTACTTGATTGTGACCATCTCTTGTGATATTTTGTACTGCGCGATGCAACCCCGCGGCTGCCCTTGCGGCCTACTGAGGCTGTGTGTTGCACTCGTTTGGCGTGGATATGTGAGTGAAATTGGCTCAATGGTGAAACGATTGAATTTCGAATGGTATTTGGGGTCGCAGACGGGGGTGACACATCATAGACACGGTTTCCCTCGCGCCTATTCAGGGTCGAATGACAAGAGCTTCCTTTTGGTGTATCGAAGAAGGGAAGGGCGGGTAGAGGTCGATCCCTTCCACTAGGGATGACTACCCTTATCTTTGGTTTATGAAACCGGTCAAAGGGCTGGCTGCTGCTGGTGTCGGATCTGGAGGGGCAGCGGGTGCCTTTTCGCCAATGAATCTTCCCATGTTTATACGATCCAATCGTTTCTTTCAGTAGTGGGGTGCTCCGGGCCTTCTTCAGTCCTGGGTTGGAGCGGCTTGTCGTAGGCCTAGCACTACTGGGGGTTGCGCTTCTTGGACCGCCTTTGATATCCTCGGCTAGAGATGGCGAAGATGGCTTGCTTGGTGAAGTTGCAGACTTGCCATGGGACCGAAGATACCGTTGGTAACTCTGTCCGATATCCAGGCCTCGTTGCTGCTCGAGAGCCTTGTCATGTAATATCGGACTCTCAGGAACAGCATGCAAGATTGTGGCCGACTTTTTCGAGCACTTGGACTTAGAAGACATCCTCGTTTTGGTCGCGATTCTGACCAAGGTGCATTAGTAGGTCAGCGCGGGTCGCTAATGCGCGACACGATGAGTTCTGGACGTTTGTAATGGTAGAAAGGCTGGCAAGCTAGGCGTGGGGTGGATAGACGCGAAGAGCCTTGTGTAATG